AATATACAGTTTAGGGAATTTTTAAAGCGGACCAGGAATAGAAAAACTGATCCATTCCACGAATGTTTCAAACCAATTTCAGGTTCCAGCTTGTTATTACAGTAATGAAAACTCCATTCAATATGTGAGAATCGTGTTTGCTTGGTTTACGAGACGGGGGGGGGGGTGAAACATGAAATTTTTATGTTCGAGTGATACTGCAGTTTTATTTGATACTTTTGTGTCTCGTTTCATCGTAAACGTTGTAAAAAAAAAAAAAAAAAAGAAAAAGAAAAACTTCAATTAAATCGCTCTTGGCAAAAGTAGCCATTTCAATACATTGACTCTTTGAGCAATCATTTTTTTCTCTCTTCCTCTTTGGCTGCAAAATTTAAAATTGAGTAAAGAACCGAGGGAACAAAGACCTTTCCAATAAGAAACAACAGACAAGAATTTTTTCTTTTTATCTCTCTTCATGAAGCTGACACTATCGTTCAGCAACTTGAAACATTACCCGGTCAATTTCGTTTCGTATAATTACAGGAATCACCTGTTCACCAGCCACGCTCGTTCCCGCGTGTTCCCATTATTTTTTTTTTTTTTTTTTTAATCCTTTTCTTTTTCGGAGGGAATTTATTGTGCATCGATACCTATATTTAGCTCACCTTCTCAAACATATGGCCAGTTTGCACATATCCGATGTAATTAGAACCGAGCCATCGAAATGCCAATTCGTGGGAGAACTCCACCGCTTCTTTAACCCCCGTCCAGTAGAGACCCATTACGATAAACGATTGTAATGGCGGCCACGCGTTTGGAAAATCCCACTGTTCCCCCGTCTGATTTAGTGATGTGGGTGTACCTCCTATGGGTGGGGGGGAAGAAGAAATGAAAAGGAGTTTAATTAAAGCCAGCCTTATTAACCTTAGCCCTCTCCCACACCTGCAAACTCGACCCTGAAGCAATTTCAATTCATACTCTGGTCACAAGCTATTACCTGGCGGAAGCTATTACTCGCACCAAGAAAGCAAATAATTCGCCAGAAAGCACCAATTCCAATTGCAATTAGACATTTTTAACAACGAAATAATTATCCGTGAACATCGAGCATTGCCGGTGCGTCTGGTTGAAAGTATCGGAAGCACTTGGAAAGTACTCGCCCATACACGACCGCGGTAAAATTTCGTTTCGCAAGAAGCTAGAAACCTTCTGCTTCGAAGTGGTCTTCGTTTCGCGCCAATATGCTCGATATCCTGCCTTCTCTCGAGAGATACGAGCTGCAATTTTGATGCGTCTTCGTCGCGCGCGATCCGCTCGTCTCGCTCTCACGCGCGACACTGACCTACCTGGACGCGCGGCGCCCGCGGGGGCGGTCAGTGACAGACGCCGAGTCAGCGTGCTTTTACCATCGCTGCAGGCTTTCGAGGAAAAATGTAGGTCGCGCGCCGCTTCCGCGAATTGGGCTACCTACCACTCCAGCATCCCTCGCGGCTTAAATGGCCCCCGCGCTTTAAACTTCTCCATCTCGGCAGCCAATTGAGATATCGACGCGAGGAGAAAGAGCGAGACTTCAAGGGCGAGCGACTTCTGTGAGTTCAGGTTGCCCGATTCCCGCCGACGTGTTTCTGAATTTAAAGTCGACGATACGAAGCTTGACGACGAGAGACCAGTGAAATCCGGAATCGTTATCGATCGAGAATCGAGTTGGACGGCAATCCGCGCGGCTTAGTGAACGATCCGCGCGGCGCGTGGCGAAGCATAATTTACTAAGGTGACCACGGCGGAGAGCAGCATTTCGGAGGGATTTGCGTTTAGTTTTCAAAAAAAAATAAATCGAACGAGAAAGACCAACTAACTGAATTCAAACTATTCGGCTGACCACGTCCAGTTCTTCACAATGCTGTTCTACGAGTTTTCGCGCAGCCGATAAACGATAAACGTAGAAGCAGGTGACGTTTCACGTATCGCGGTTCCATTCGATTTCATTCTCGTAGGAAACGACCTTTAACCACAAGTCCTACAAAGCGTAGTCTTTTGTACTTTTCTTCTCCCCTTTCTTTCTTCGTCTTGCGGGCGCCAAGGAACCGCAGAGGTCGCCTTTCGACTATTCTTCATCGATGGAGCGCGAACGATATACTCGATAAATTTCCTCTCTTTCGACCTTCGTTTGTAAAAGTCTACGCAAAAGGCGACATCCACTCGGCGAAAACTCACCGAAGAAACCGTCGATATTCTGCGACTTGAGGTACGCCACGGCGGACAACGCGTAGTGCTCGCGTTGGATGTGATTGTAGCTTCTGGTGTAAAGTGGCGCGAGATTCGATGGGTAAAACATGCGCCTGTGCTGTTTGGTCTTCAAGTCGTAATCAAACCATATTCCTTCTTCTTCGTCCCACAGGACGTTGTCGATGGCCGTTTGAAGCTGCGACGCTATCTTCAGGTAATACTGCGACTTCTACAACAACCACGAGTCACATTTTAACATGAGTTTAGTATTTATAATGTTTTAAATTTAGTATAAATAAATAGAAATATTTACTATAACAGCAAGTCAGCCGTGTCTGACCGAAACTTTGAGGAAGAGCTTGTTAAAAAGATTGGTATTCGAATTCGAAAGAAGAAATCGAGCGCATTTATCTCAACTCGTATTCACAACGATTCTGTGCTGCTCTTTAAACCGCGATCAACTTTAACAGCAAGGCATTCTAATACCAGATGAGCTCCCACAGAAACCACCCTTTTCATCGTTCCCGCGACCACGTCCCTGTTTAATATTTCCGTTCCTCTCATACATCCTTCCTAATTAGTATATCTTCCTCACTCCAACACTTTTACCAGTCACATTGCTTTACTCCTTTGGATCAGGTCAATATTAACCCTTTGCACTCCGCTGTCGCCGCAGAGGCGACATTGCAAGATAA